ACACAGAGGGCTTGCTTACCCTAATTGTTATTGTTGTAGAGATTGAACTTAGGGCTTCCTAATGAACTATATAACCTTAGCCCTTTTTAATTTTTACTTTGAGACAGTGTCACACTAAGTGGCTAAATTGCCCAGGCTGGACTTGAACGTTCGGTCCTCCGGTCTCAGCCTCCCAGAGTGCTGGGATTACAGACCTGCACCACTATGCCCAGGTTTGCTTGCTCTGAATGATGGAAACAGTGTTTACCCCGACTGAGCCTCATGTCCGAAGCCAGCAGTGTTCCCGAGGCCGGGAAGCTCAGCTTCTGCACATTTAGCAAACTTCCACCCGGGAGGAAGGCTGCTATTTCTACTGCATGTGCAGCACTTTGCACCATCTGGGCTGGATGGATTTCAACGAAGATAGTAAAGAAACATTTATCAAATAAAATCAAAGATGGCCTTGCCAAGTGTGGTCTAGAGAGATTTGCTGTCTCGGTATGTGTGTGGCTGTCACTGCGGGGCAGCATGCCTTGACTTCGCCAAGCTGCCTGAGGGACAGGTCTTTGGATGTGAGCCTGCGCTGCTGTCCGCTGCTCCTGATACAGTGGTTTCAGTTGCTGGAGTTTCAGAGTTGTGAATGCCCACAGTCCAGAAGCGATTCCCGTCCTCTCCTTCCAACAGAATTGTTTTGCCCTCTGTGGTAGGGAGTAGACTCAAACGGACAGAGGTCGAAGAAAGGCGTGGAAAATGAGAGGAGAGGTGAACTTGTTCCCTCAGGAGTGGGCAGTACCAGAAGTAAATGCTGAAGGAAAGGGTGTCCTTTCTTACTGCTAAATTTTTATTAGTGTACGTCCTTGTTACTTCCCAAGTTGCTGAGACAAAATACCCAACACCCAGCACTTAGGGAAGGAGAGGGTTATTTTGGCTCGTGTTTCAGTGTGTAGTCAGCTGGCTGTGCGACAGAAAGGCATGGCGGAGGGGAGCTGCTCGCAGCGTGGTGCACGGGAAGCAGCAAGGGTGCAGGGAGGAGTGGCGGGGGAGGCTTGCCCTTCCAGGCCGCCCCCGGAGACCACCGCCTCAGATCAGGTTCCACTTCCCAGCACCTCCTGCCACACCCCTGATCAGTCAGTGAGCTTCACCCGTGGGTATCTAGATATGGGCCGTAATAGTATTTGTTTGTGGTACAAAATAAATACATTTGTTCTGGGGAATCGGCACATGCTCATATTGCATCTTGATTCTTTTTACCTCCCCTGCTCCATCCTCCCAGCCCCAGATCCACTTCCATCACAGTAAAGTCTGTCTCCATTCTTATCATCTGTCTTGTATTTTGCTCTTTGAGTATTTAGACTTTGAGTTTCTCATGTAAGAGAAACCAAGTGATATTTAGTTTTCTCTCATTTGTTTCTCTTAGCATGATGGTCTAGCTCAAGGTGCATGTTTTCCTACAGATGACTCAAATTTATGGCCAATTAGTACCCCACTAGGTGTATGTGCTACATCTTTATCCATTCATCTGTTGATGGACATGGAGACCACTTCCAAGACTTAGCAACTGTAGCTTGTGTTGCTGTAAACAGAGGCGTGCGTGGATCAGGGTAATATGATGACTTTAATTCTTTGGGGAAGGTACCTACAGGTATAGTTGAACCAAGTGGAATCTCTCGTTTAGCCTTCTGAGGAACCTCCCTACAGATTTCCAGAGTTACTGCCCTGATGGAGATCCCCACCAGAAGTGTGGAAGGTTCCTTTCCCCACAACCTCACCAGCATTTGTTGTTTTGGGCTTGTGATGGGGGCCACTGGAAAAGGACATTCTTCACCCACTGATCTGAAGATGGACAGTTGCAGCGTACCGCACTTCTTGTCCTTCAGAGCACACTGCAAGGCCTGAGAAGTCCCGAACTTACAAGAGAAGACTTTGCCCCCGTGGTGGTCTTCGTGGCATTTGTCCGTCAGACGAGGAGGCAAGGACGGGCCTCGCCAGAAGGAAGAAAGAGGAGCAGTTCCCACTTGCCTGTGTTTTCAATCAACCAGACAGACGAGTTTCTGGCACGTCGCTGTCTCAAATCCTGTTCTCATGGCGCTGACTGTGTGACAGAGGTGTCATTCCCAGACTAGAAACTGGCACATGCTATTTTCCTTGGAAAGCTCAGGAACGAGAGAAAATAACAGTTGGGGACTGTGCTCTGCGGGGAACACGCGCTGGTGTCATAGAAAGCGTCACTCCGCGGGGCAGCGTTACTCGCTGTGTCTCTGTGGGCCAGCAGCGTCACCCCGTGGGGAAACTTGTTGGCAAAGCACACGCGCAGACCCCAGTCCAGACCTGTAGAATCCGCACCGTCTGAGGAGGGTGGGGCCCCAGAAATCTCTCCCGCCATCCCTTGGTGATGCTTAGGCCTGCTAAGCATTGGGAAGCACTGTTCTGGAAGGGTTCTCATGGGCAGATCAGACACATGGTTCTCAAGAAGAAAGAGCACGGTGGCTCTGTCTTACCCCGCTGCATTTGGGACTGATTAGGTATTCATAATAGACACAGACAGATGTAGTTAAAGAGGGCAGTGAATAACAATGGTGCAATAGCAGCGAGATAGCTAGTGTTTAGTGAGTATTTTTCTAGGTCCCAGATTCTGTGCTAAACATGCCCAGTTTACTAACAACCAATTATTGATCAAGAAAGTGATATTTAAATACGAGAAGTAACTGCTAGGCGAAATGTCTACCCAGTGTCTTACAGCCTTGTATTCAGGACACTTCGCAGTCAGCCTTGGATTAGAAATCTCATTAGCCTCCCTCCCTCCCTTCTTCCCTCTGTCCCTCCCTCCCTCCCTCCTCCCCTCTCCTTCCCTCCTTCCCCTTTCCCTCCCACCTTCCCTTCCTTCCTCCTTCCTCCCCCTTTGCCTCCCTTCCTCCCCTTTCCCTTCCTCTTTCCCTCCCTCCCTCCCTCCTCCCCTTTTCCTCACTTCCTCCCTCTTTCCCTCTCTCCTTCCCTTCCTTCCGCTTTCCTCCCTCTTTGCCTCCCTCCCTCCCTCCCTCTCTGCCTCCTCCCCTCCCTCCTTCCTTTCCTTCTCTCAGCTTTGGTCAGCTGCTTGGGGTTTTGTCAGATAAGAAAGACAGAAAGAACCAGGGGGAAGGGAGTTGAGAAATCTTCCAGGGAACAGTATGTACTTGTAAATGGAGGTAAACGGAGAGAAAACAAGAGTGGGAATTCAGAGACTAGGCTCTGGGTTCAGTGGAGGGACGGGCGGGGCAGACTTTGGAGGGAGTAGCAGAGCAATGAACCAAAAGCTAGGATGTGACATAAGATAGTGACATATAATTTGGGGGATGATAAGCTCCAGGTGTGACCACGGGAGGCAATAACTGGGAACCACAGGAAGTGAGCCGGCGCTTTATCCCCTACTTTCCAGTGTGCTGTCTTCTCATGTGTTTGTCTTGCCATCTTGAACTAGTAAAATTCCTGTTTTTATTGTCTCATTGCTCTGGTGGAACATTTAGAAAAAACTGTTGAATAACGGCTAAGGTAATGGGTGTCTTTGTCTTACTTCCAGCTTTAATGGGATTGCGTTTGTCATGAGCCGTGGCACTATTATTTCGATAGCCTGGATCCTGTTAAGAGATTTCATTGCTATTTTCAGATAACTGCAGTGAGCTTATGGTTTTCTCCTTTCACCCACAAATTGATGAATATATTAATAATAGATTCGCAAAGGTTGAATCATCTTCGCATTGCTGGTAGGACTCATTATATATTTAACTTCTAGCAGATAGTTTGATTCATTTTGGATTGAATGTATTATGTGGGATTTTTCTGTTGTAAGTGAGCTTGTTAACACTGTATCCGTAAGACCCGCACACGTCTCGTTTCCTAGCCCCCTTCCCTCGGCTACCTGTGTTCCTGGCTTTTGAACTGATGGTGACTCATTTTTTCCTCTTTCTCCAGGCTGGTGTTTCATTCTGCCTCAGCCTTTCCACGGCTGGTTGCACCTTAGCGCACATCCTCTGCTCCCTTTCCTTTCCTTCCCGGCCATCCTTTGCTGCCCTCCTTTCCCTAACCGGCCTTTTGACCTTCACCCCGGAAGTTCTTGACTGAGGATGCAGCCTTGCTGTAACTCTGCCAGGACTTTTCCTGCCTTCTCCCGGTGGGCTCTCCTAGTTCTCCTTCAGGTCTTTGTTTCTGTACTGAGGTAAAATCTACATCACATAAAATTAGCCATGAACTTTATAGAAGTGTAACGTTCCATGGCCCTTAGTACTTGGGCAGTGCTGTGCCGCCGTGCTCCCCACCTCTAGCTCCAGTACTTTTCAGCACCCCTAAAACTCTGTACTCAAAAGCGGTAGCTCCTCTTCTCCGTCTGCCCTGAGCCGGTGGCAGCTGCTAGTCTGCTGTATATGTCGCTGTAGGTTTATCTGCTTGAAAGTTTCGTACAAATGGAGTCATACAATAGGTGACCTTTTGTGTCTGGGTACACACTTGTTCCTGTGCCACTATTCCCAATAATCCAAACGTAGAAATAACACAAATGCTGATCTACAGATGAGTGTATCAACAAAATGTCCAAGACCTGTGCAGTGGGATATTGCGGAGCCTGAAAAAGGCATGAAGAAGTGATCCCTGCGATTACATGGGCCTTGAAAATATTATGCTAAATGTACGAAGCCAGTCTTTCTGTGGGCTCTGTAGAAGACAAGCTCAGAAAACACAGTTATGCTTGGGTGTGGTGTAGGAAGAGCAAAATGAAATCAGAAACCAGTTTTTTTTTTTGGTACCGGGAATTGAACTCAGGACCTTGCACTTGCCAGGCAGACAGAAATCACTTCGTAGCCAAGATACAACAGAATCTGCATGTTATCAACTTACCTCATTTTCTATCCCTCTAGCTGTCGATATTAATAAAAATCCCAGCAAACACGCCTGGTGCCAAGGACCCTGCCTACCGCGTGTCCTGCAGACATTACTGGTTGGGGTGTAAACATCTAGGGCACTATTAATGTTAAAACTGCTTTTTTCTTTTTTAGTAAGAGATGCAAAGAACCTTGTACCCATGGACCCCAATGGCTTGTCAGATCCCTACGTAAAACTGAAACTGATCCCCGATCCCAAAAGTGAGAGCAAGCAGAAGACCAAAACCATCAAGTGCTCCCTCAATCCTGAGTGGAACGAGACGTTTAGATTGTAAGTTGAAATGCTGGTGGCCTGGCGTGGGTGGGAGAGGCGGGTAGGGGCTACCGGAAACTGGGGCTTTCTCCCTCCCTGCCGTCCGATTCTTCCCCTCCCACTCTCCCCTCCTTACTGCCTCCCTCCCTTATTCCTCCCATCCTTTTTCCTCTTCTACCTGCATTTTTTGTACCGTGGGCCAAGTAAAAATGAGAAGCTTTTAGAAGACCTGTGATACGGGGAGTGGGTGGGATAGGGAGCAGTGCACTGTGCTGCTAGATGAACATAAATTGTGGCAGAAGCTGTGGGTCGTAGGCAACAGCGGGTGTAACCTATGGGGTGCAGTGGCGACATCTTAGGGCTCATTTGACGGAAATGTTGGGTGTTCAGACTGCTGGGAGATCTCCGTTAGCTTCCCTGGCCAGTGCCCAAAAATCCCCACCAAGGGGTGTGGTGTTAATTAGAAGAGCTGATCTTTATTGAGCACATACTGTGTGTCACACGCACAGGTTAAATGATGTCATTTCACTGGCTCATTTTGTTCCCATTCTGTGGATGAGGTATATTACAGAAGTGAAAGCAGACGCCCAAAGTTCTACAGCAAACACAAAGTACAGCGGGATTCAGCCTCAGACAATCAGACATCAGAGCCCACGCTTGAGTCCCAGGCGGAGAGCACGTGACTTTAGGCGGTCCATTTGGCCCCTTTGGAGAGTACCGTTTCTCAGGGCAGACTAGGAACCTCTCAGCTTCCATGCAATGCCTCAGACCAGACCATCTCCCTTTCCCTAGACACTGCTGCAGCCTTGGCCCACACACGTGCAAATGCACATGTGTACACACCCAGTTGTGTACTTCTATCTGTATTCATTAGGATTCCTGAACACTGCGCGTTCTATTAAGACGTAGACAGAAGAGGTAGGAGCTGCTCCCGTCAGAGCTGGCCTAGGCCCTCTGCCTGCTTAAGCCTCAGGCTGTCAAGCAGGAAAAGCTCCCCGTCTCTGGGGAATGGAGACCGAGTATGTTTCTTGCGGCAGCTTGTAACGTTTACAAATCTCTGCCCCCAGGTCTTGTCCTCTTGTACCTTTCATCTGCTTGAGAAGTCACCACAGCCTCAGCTGCTTGCTTTCTTTTCTCTTTGCAGTCAGCTGAAAGAGTCAGACAAAGACAGAAGACTGTCCGTGGAGATTTGGGACTGGGATCTGACTAGCAGGAATGACTTCATGGGGTCTCTGTCCTTCGGGATTTCTGAGCTGCAGAAAGCTGGTGTTGACGGATGGTAAGGAAAATCTTGCTTTGGGAGCTGCAGTATAATTTAGTCCATCACGTATATCTTCCCTTTCCTCTTGAAAGTGAACCAGGAGAGCAGAGTCCCAGAGTGAGGGCTGGGTTGGGTCTGCCTCACAGATATGATTTACTTTAAAAAGGAACAATAAGTCAGGCGTGGTGATGCACCCCTGTAATCCCAGCACTTGGGAGGCTGAGGCAGGAGGAGCATCTTGAGTTGGAGGCCGGCCTGGGCTACACAGTGAGTTCAAGGCCAGCCTGGACGACATAGCACGACCCTATCTCACAGCTCACAGCAAGACCCTGTCTCAAAAAACAGAAACAATTAAAAGGGATAATAAGTTGCCAGGGTTTTGGAAACCTGGGGGCTTTAAGGACAGTGGGGAACAGTTGGACAGTGCATGCCCCCCAAGACGTGGTTTCCTGTTTGCTGCAGTCCTGCCGCCCCCCCTTCTCACGTTTGCCCTCCCTGACACAGTTCCGTGACTGGGTTGGCACGAAGTGGCTCGGTTCACTGAGAAGTCCTGAGCAACTCACTTGGGGAGTTTGGCTGTTTAAGGGGCTGCCTCTTGGTTGAGAGCTGGCTGTGGCCGTCTTCACAGTCAGCGGCACTATTTCCTTTGTTCTGGAGTCTTTTCTCTTTTCTTTCTCTTTCTCTTTTTTCCTTCCTTCCTTCCCTCCTTTCCTGCTCTTCTTTTCCTCCCTCCTTTCTTCCCTCCCTCCTTCCCTCCCACAGCTTTTGTACTGAACCCATGGCCTTTGTACTGAATTACAACCTTTTTAAATTTTTTTTTTTTTGAGACAGAATCTTGGCAAGTTGCTCAGGCTGAGCTTGGACTTGTGATCCTTCTGCCTCAGCTTCCCAGCATGCTGGGGTTGCAGGAACGGTGCACACCTTGCCTCACCTCCGTTTTCTAAAAGTATACTTCTCTGCGGATGAGGGAGCCCATCTGGGCCTGACTCAGTTGTGAATAACTTAAACAAAAGAATATGACTGTGAGGAAAGAGAGACCTAATTAGAAAGTGCTCTCGCATGACATGGAAAGGTCACCCCGTCATCTTTTCCCCAATGTTCAGATATTTCTTCCTAACATACGGATGCTTTGACTTTGTACTGCATCCCACCCTTGTTGACTCATGTACGGGATGTTACTTCCTCTTTAAGTAAAGTTTAAGGAGGTTAAAGACAAAGAACGCCTGATCCCCAGGGGGCAGAGGCGAGATAGGAGAGAACATAATGATAATAATTACAATAACGATAGCTACCACTTAGGACTCTCACTGGACGCCAGCACCGGGCTGAGCATTCACACAGCACTCATCAGATGTGCAGAAAAATACAACTGCTTCTCCCCCTAAAATGGATCCGCTCTTTGTCACACAAGTTTGTGACCTCACAATGGCCAAAGAGAAGGGTCCCTTCATTGCACGGGGCACCTTCTGGGTGCTCATTACAGAGTGGCTGTTCCTGCTGGTCTGTGGACCCGCGCCCGCTGGCTTCACGCCGGAGCCCTAGTACCCAGCCTGTTGCATTCCACTGTGAGGTCCCTCCACAGGGTCCCCTCTTCGTTAGTACTTGGCCCCATTTTTCTCAGCACGCCCAGGACTCCCTTTGTGGAGAACCTCAGGGTGCTGGTGGGGCTCGGTGGAGTGCCGCTCCCCGGGGTGCCGCCTGTGGGGGGCCACCCGGTGAAACCCACCTCTCCTGCCCCCGCTTGCCTCTCCCAAGAGAGAAACTCATATCACGGCCTTCCTCCTGGGCTAGCACCTGAAACAATTTTAAATAATTGTTGGCTTTGAACAGTTGTCTGCTTGAATAATTTCACCAGGAGAACCTTAATAAGCATGCTACATTTAGCTCCGGCAAATAAAAAGAAAATATAAAGGCATAAAAGAGCTGGGCATCCTAATAAACTGGAACTTCACAATGACAGCGGAAAGCAGGGATATAAAAACGGCTTCATGAGAAGGGATGGGGCCTCCAAAACGTGACCACATTTAGCCTTAGATCATCACTTAATTGTCCCCACAGTCCTGGCTAAGGCATCATTCCCAGGAGTCGGAATCGTTAGCAGTATGTTAAGGACACACAGCTCTTAAATGACAGCGCTGGAGTTTGGGTCCGGGCATCTGTGATGCCAGAGCGGAAGAATATACCAGCCCTGTTCTGTGTCTTGATGGAGGGGTGGGCAGAGGGCCAGGGGCGGGGGACAGCGAGGGCTCGGCCTTGGCTCTCCCGGCTGGCTGGACATTTCAGGACCTCAGGGGTGTCACCTGCCCTCTCTGTGCCACGGCCTTCTCCGCAGACATGCCACTCACCAGGTTGGTCACAGTACCCTCCCTCCACACTTGGGGTGTTTGTCAAGTGGATCAAACAATAGCTGGGGAGGAACATTTGCAAGCTGAAAGCCATCTTGCAGATTTTGCTGATGAAGATTTAGGGGCAAGGGATCTATGATGCTGCCTCGGCCCTGCATGAACCAAATTCTAGAAATTTGGGTTCTAATTAACATTATGTGATCTTGGGCAAGGCGCGGGCCTGCTCTGTGACTCAGTTTCCCTAGATGGAAGGGGATGAGCTCCTCCAGGTATTCTGTTGTGCTGTGCGATCATCAACAGTCCTGTAAGATTATAAGGGAGCCAGGTGTGGTGGCATACGATCATAATCCCGCACTCTAGGAGGCTGAGGCAGGAGGATCGTAAATTTGAGCCCAGCCCAGGCAACTTAATGACTTAAGGTGAGACCCTTCTCAAAATAAAAAATATAAAAGGGCTGGGGACATAGTTTAAGGCCCTGGGTTCAATCTCTAGTACTAAGAAGAAAAAAAAGATTTGAAAGGAGCTGAAAAATTCCTGTCACCCGGTGATGTCATACCAGCGCACTACTTTTGCCTGTGCTGTGCCGTGCATTGACCTGCTGTCCAAGTCTGTAGCCCAGGGACAGCAGGTTAGGCTGTGCAGTGCAGCCAGGCAGTAGGCTCTAGCATCTAGGTTTATGTGAGCACACTCTGGCAGTCACTTGATCAGGACATTGCCTAATGGCACACTCCTCAGAATGTGCCCTGCTCACTAAGTGACACATAAATGCAATTTAACACCATGTGGCAGAAACTGCAGAGGCAGCTGTGAGCGGTCCAGATGTGGTCCACCTGCCCCGGGCTCCTCATCTGCCTCTGTCACCAGCTCTGGCTCTGCTGTCAGATCCTCTTCTCTGTCTCTAATTCTGTTTATTTATGCTGTCTCATTTCTTTCCTCTTGATTTTCTGGAGGTTCATCTGTTTTACTTATTTTTTTCTTCAAAGAATTAGCTTTGGGATTTGTGTATCAATTCTGCGTCTCTTTGCTCCCTTTTTGTAGGTTTTATTTTGTACTTGACTTTGAATTTCATTTTGCTGTTTTGTTTTTCTTCTTTTATTGTATTCTACTCTTTAAAAATAATGAGCAAATATTTAAAGGAGTAGATAATTCCTCTTTGTTTCAATATGTCATGTTCTGACTTTTTTGTTTCTTTTTTAAGGTGTCTGTGCTTGTGTTTTACATTTCTTTTCTATCATACTTTTCTCTAGGCATGCGTCTCAGCTTCTCAAATTAGCTCTTTGTTTAAATTTTTATTGCTAATGTTAAATTATAGCTGTAGTGTCTTATAGGCAGAGAATATGGCCTGTGTGCTTTGCTTTCTTTTTCTCTGCTATTTTCTTTTTTCCCATTTTTTCAGTTCAGCTTGGTGTGTGTTCAGTGTTGCTAAATGCTCTGTGAACGTGACCATGAAAATATTAGTCAGATTTTTGATACTGGGACAAAATACCTGATGTCCGCAGTGTAATTAGACCCATGTGCAGTGTTTTACCATTGAATTACGTCCCCAGCCCAGAAAGTGTCTTCTAAAAGTGAATTTATTATTTAAGAACCAGATGTCTTAATGAAGAGCAATAAGGCGAAATAATACACTGGGTAACAAAATCCACAAAGATAGCATATGAACAGATAGAGTTTGCCCAATCCTAGTCCATTTTTTACCACTACTTTACTTTTCAGAATTTCCTGGAAGTCTCTGCTCCGTGCCTAGCACCCTTCTCAATTTCCAGCAAAGATCCAGATGTTCTTTTATTTTTACATTTCTTTTGGTGACTTCAGTGGAAATTTGAGGAAGAATATATTAACTGTGGAGGCAGCATTTCTACACTGGCTCACCTATCGTATTTTTGGAAGCTGCCTAAGATTTGTGAATGGAGAAAAAATTGTGATGGAAATTATAAACTTTACTTAGGAGGTATTTGGGAGTGGGGAGGTTGGGGTCTTTTTCCTCTCCTAGTTTTCTCAGATGCCTTTGGAATGTCTCTTTTCCTTCCATGTTCTTACCCTCTAAATAGCTGGATGCATCTTGGTGCTCAGGAGACAAATTGAAGCTACCCTGTTTGTGATGTGAAAGTTAATGTCATTAATAGTGATGGTGAAGGCGAATGGCTTTTATTGAGCGCTTACTGAATGCCAAACACTGCTCTTATTTCACATGCATCATCACATTCCAGCTTCACCACCAGTCTGTGAAAAAGGAATTTGTGGTTTAAGGTGTGAAGGTGACATACGAGGGCTCTGTGAGCCTAACCAACTTAATCTAAGAACACCCAAGGATGAGGGGCAGGGACAGAGGCAAGGTTTGTGACATACCCACTCAGGAATAGTATCTCTTAGGAGGGTGAATGCACAAATCTTTGGGCTTGGGAAGTTCATGGTCACCCCTGTGCACCCTGATGCCAGGATGGCAAGGGGACCATATGCAAAGTGCAAAGGAGCACAGAGCTGATCGGGAGGCATGGGGCATCTGCAGTGGGGCCTCTCAGAATGGAAGAGCAAACAGTGGGTGAAACACGACATCAGTAATCAAATGCATAGAACTAAGGAAACTGTGAAGGGGAGCGGGCTTCGCATCCTGCAGATGGCACGTTGTTTTTCTGATGTCCATGGGTTACAGTGGAGGGTGTTTATTCCAAAATGGGACCAGTGGTGTTTCAGATTTCAGATACTTTTGAGAGGTTGTGTGTGTGTGTGTGTGTGTGTGTGTGTGTGAGAGAGAGAGAGAGAGAGAGAGAGAGAGAGAGAGAGAGAGAGAGACACGGGGAGAGGGTACCAATCTAAAAGCAAAATTTATTCATGTTTGACACACACCTTCCACATATTGCCTGGAAGTAATTTTATATAATTACTTCTAAGAGATTTGGACAAAACGCAAGGTTCCCTGTTGTGGAATGTCCTACTCATGGTGCCATGTTGGGAATGAAAAGGGTTTGGCTATGGGAGCACTGTGGGTTTTGAATTTTTGAGTTAGAGTTGTGCAATCTATAGTTTAAAAAATAAATTAGAAAAAAAAGATAGGTAGATAGATGAATGATGGATAGATGATAGAAAGAAGAAAGAAAGGAAGGAAGGAAGAAAGAAAAAGAAAGGAAAGAAAGAAAGAGAGAAAGAAAGAGAGAGAGAGAGAGAAAGAAAGAAAGAAAGAAAGAAAGAAAGAAAGAAAGAAAGAAAGAAAGAAAGAAAAGAAAGTACTTGGCTATACACACACAACAAAACTCAAGAAAACCCCAAACCCTCAACACAGTTCTTTAAGTAGAGCTTGTTACAGGCGTTTTTCTCAGACTCTGCTCTACAAGATAGTTCCAAGCAGAGCGTCATGGAATCGGTCCTGTCCTCTTATCTCCCTCTAGGTTTAAGTTACTAAGCCAGGAGGAAGGCGAGTACTTCAACGTGCCTGTCCCGCCGGAAGGAAGCGAGGGCAATGAAGAGCTGCGGCAGAAATTCGAGGTGAGCCTCCTTCCTCTTCTCCTCTCCTCTCTCCTCCCCTCCCCTCCTCTTCCTTCCCTTCTCTTCTTTCCTCTCCTCTTCTCTCCCCTCCTCTTCCCTCTTTCTTTTTCTTTCTCTCTTTCATTCATTCGTTCTTTCTGCCGTAGTGGGAACTGGGTGCTTTTACAGGACACTGTGCTGCTTTTTCTGTGGACGGTGTGGTTCTACCATAGAATTGCCCTGACTTTCAGCCTTTGCCACCCTCTTCCGTCTCCTGGAAAATGCCTGTTTCTTCCCGAAGCCCCCAGTGAAACGCCCCCTTGGATTACGCAGCGTCCCTCACTCAGACGTAGATATTTCCTCAGAGATGTTCATTCACTGCCTTGGTGATTTTGAGGGTAATTTGCACTGAAGTGGGAGTAACGGCCAATGAGAGAAGTGGGCGGGGTCATAATACATTTTACAGGCGCAGGGGGCTGGGCTTGCTGGCAGAGGCGGCCTACCGGCAGGGCCGTGCTGTGCGGTTAACAAGGCGAGTTGGTTGTGGCGGTGGGTCTGTGAAACGCCTGGAGGGTGGCTCAAACCGGAGGATAACTGCATCAAGCAGATTGCGGTAGGCTCTGAAGTGAGCTGCCGAGTGAGCCCCTTCCCTTCTGTGGGGACAGTGAACCCCGTTTCCCTCTACGCGGAAGCAGCACGTATGCACAACACACCCAAGTTTTACGGAGAAGGAGTTTGGGGAGATAAGGTTGTGTACCTGCATCAGAAGTGCACTGAGTGATTCGAGTGGTTCAGGAGGGAAAGTGTGTTATTTCATTCACACAATGTAAGGTGCTGTGTGGTGGGAAATCATCTAGAATTGATGAAAGAAATGGATAAAATAGCAAAGCTGAAAGGAGAGGGACTATTGCTATTCATTAAATAGTCACACCAGAAAATGTTAAAATTATGATCACACAGAGCTCTGTGACAGAGAGCTCATGTGTGTGGGGAGCATATGAAGGAATGGAGCCTTGTCGGAGACCTGGAAAATGTCAGGGAAAAAAACGGCCGTGGAAATGAACCAAGTAAAGAGGAGGGAGAGCACGTTCCAGTCAGAGAGAACAGCATGTGCAAAAGCCCTGTGGTGGGGAGCTACGTAGCAACTACGTGAGACTGTGGAGAGGGCCAAGGAGTGAGTCCAAAACAAAGCTGAGGTGGTGCGTGAGGTCAGGGTAACAGGGCTGTGCCTGCCTCAGCGAGGACGTTGGCGTTGATCTTAGGAGTCGTGTTAATTTCCCCCTCAGCTGGACAGGAATAGCACTTGAGTATCCACAGGTTCCTGGTCTTGATCCTGTGCCCTGTGTCCTCCACACAGCCTGGGTGATATTGATGGTTGTAACCTAGTCAGCTCCCTTTCCTGAAAACAAGTGGAATGAACTCACTGGCTTGAGCTTGTCCACCATTCTCCCGTGACCTTCACCACTGAAGGTCATTCTCTCAGTGCCGGCTCAAGCCCAGATGAGTGGATAAAAGGACCCTCCCACCAAGCGGAGCTGAGATCTGGAGGCTTTGATAAAAATTAGATGGGAAAGTGGTCCTTCCAGAGACCCACCTTATCTAGAATTGATGATGTCCCAGGGATTTCTCATCTCTTTCCCCTGTTTTTCTGAGTATGCAGAGTCCTTTTGCTGCTTCGTTAAAGCTATAGCGTTGTGGGTGAAAATACAAGACATTTTTCTTGAGAAGAAGCCTCTGTTTTGCAAAATAATTTCTTCTGTCCTGGGGCAACTAGGGTGACATTTCAGAGCACCAGGGAAGACATTTTCTACACGAACAGAGCATTTGTCTGAGCCCGTAATTGACTTGAAGTAAAGGACTATTTTATCTGCATGCAACAAAATGTGTTCCTTTCTTTCTAGCTGGAGCCTGCAAACGCTTGTTTGTGCCCAAATTATAATCACTCCATACCATAGCTGTTGATTAAAAAAATGTTTCCAGCAGACTGAAAATTGTTCTCAGGCACACAGAGGGATTTCAGTTGACCTTGAACGTGAGCAATATAATCCCTGTACAATAACCAATTAGCACCCAGAATGACTCAGAAATTACGTGCAAGCCTCTTATCTGGAGGAATTCTGAGTGACGGGAAAACCCAGCTGCTGGAGCTGGGGTAATGGAGTTTCATGGTAGGGTGAACACACACGGTCTGCTCTGAACACGGGTTCAGCCTGCAAGGCCGGCAGTCCAACCACGGGCCCTCCTGATGCGGCAGGGAAGGGAGACCTCTGCGCTGGGTGGTCAGATGGGGATTTCTGACAGCCTTAGAACTTATTTATTCAACAGAGTGCTTAGTATGCACTGTTTATTATTCTAAGTGCTTTATAAATATTAATTTTCATAACCACCCTAGGTACTGTTATCATTCCCATTTTTTTTTTTTTTTTTTGCAGATGAGGAAACTGAGGTGCAGATAGTTTAGTAACTGTCCCAAGGTCTCTGTCTTGGGTTTGAGTTTCCCCAGAAACATAGTATAAGGATGCTGACCTCCTTCATATAAAATGCTGCAGTATTTGTATATTACCTATGCATCCTCTCCCAAGTACTTTAAATTATCTCTAGATTACTCGTAATACCTAACACAGTGTCAAAGCTCTGAATAGTTGTTACACTGTATTGTTATGGGAATAATGATATGCGGAAAGAAGCCTACATTTTTAATACAGATGCATTTTTTAACTGAATGTTTTGGATCTGTGATTGGATGAATCGCAGATGCAGAACCTGCCGCTGCTGCTGAGGGCCTGCTGTGTTAGCAAGCACATTACACCGGCTGGCTGTGGGCCACTGGAGTGGAATCCAGCGGAACTCTGGGTCCCCTCTGGAATGGGTGCTTGGGTCTCCCCACAGAGGGGCTAGCCACAGCTCTCCCTCCTGCTGTGGGTGAGGCGCCGTCCTGGGAATTCACTTCACACACGGCATCTTTCAGGGCCCTGCTGGTGGGAGCTGTTTGCTCCTGCAACCAAAAGATGAGCCCTGAGGCCAAGGCACAGGTGTTGGCAGTGAGCTACCCCAGGTGGGGGAGCAGAGCGCCCGGGGTCTTGGCCAAACACTGATGCACATCTGCGCGGCAGAGCCTGGCATGCAGAGCGGGCTGCCTGGGTTTGAGTCCCGCTTCTGCCACTTCCTTGCTGAGTGACTGGAGGCAAGCTGCTAAATCCCTCTGAGCTTCTGTCCCTGCTTTTTGCAAAATGGGGAAGTAGAACCCTTCTGACCCCCTAAGGCTGTGAGGGCTGAATGAGGTAATGCATTTATGAGCGTGCAGATGTCAGGGGCCACTGCTGCTGGTGTTGCTGTCAGCTTCCCTGTGTAGTAAATACAGCTCAGAATATGCTGCTCCTGGGAGGGTCAGGAGACTCTCCAGGGTCTCCCAGGCTGTCAGCGCCTGGGTCTCCAATGCTGGCATCTGGAAATGCCCCATAATAGCTCCTTGCAGAGAGGGGTGTGCAGAGGAGTCTGAAACTGAGGCCAGGACAGGCATTAAATACCATCTTGTGGGAGCCTGGAGTCTGCCGCCAAGGAGCCTGTGCTGCCCTCAGACCATCCCAGAAAGTGGCTGCCTTTCTGCTTAGAAATGCTCTCCCTTTGCTCTTTCTTTGAGCCTGAGTTCCAGGGCTCCACGTCGCAGACATGAAAGGAAGCATTAGTGGCACTGTTCCCAAAGGCACCGCCTGCTCGGCAAGAGAAAACAGTTTTAATTTGGGCCCCAGTTTTACCGTAGAATCCGCAAAGCACTGGGCTCTGTGGAGCCGTGGGATCCTTAGAGGACGTGTGGCAAGCGTTTGTCCTCTGCAACCTCATCGTGTTGGTGTCTCAGGCCCAGACGCTTTCAAGAACCAGGCTAATGACAAGGAAGGGCAGAAGCTTGGTCCACACAATGTTGCTAGATCTACTTTTTGAAAAGAAGCTGGGGATCTGGGTTCTTGTAAGGCATCTTCCTGACTGACAACAGCTGACAGCTGACTTAAGTATTACAGTAACAAGAAACACTGCAGAACAGATCAGCAACATTATTAGACTTCTAGATTCTAGAAGCAAAATGACGTGCTGAATGGTTCTGCTTTCTGTTGCTGTAACAAAATACCTGGAGCTGGGTACTTTAAAAAGAATAGGGGTTTTTTAAAAGCTCATTGTTTGGGAGACTGAGAGTCCGACATTGGGCAACCTCGTCAGTTTAGCCTCTGGCGACGACTGCCGTGGCCAGGTCACAGGGTGGTGGAGAATGAGAGAAGGAGCTAGGTGCATGTTGGAAGGGCCAGGCACAGGCAGTGGCTTCACCTTACAACAAGCAGCTCTTGAGTAACTGGCTCCACAAGGCCAGCATTACTTTTGAGGGCTGCACCCCAGTGACCTCATGCCCTTCCTCTTGGTCCCGCCTCTTGAAGGTCCTGCTACCTCTCACATCACAGTAGGGACCAAGCTTCCAGCACTGAAGACTTTGGGGGACACCTAGGCTGTATCCACAGCACAGCCATGTGCCCGTGAGCAGTGGCAGAAAGCACGCTGGAGCAGAGTGAGAGGAGAGAGCCACCAGCCTGAGTTCAAAGCAGAGAAGGAAGTTTGCAGGGCTGAGGGGTGATGCTGTCAGCCACCGCTGCTCTTTGAGAGACAAAGAAAAAAGCCCACACCAAAGTTAAAGTAATCAGAAGCTTCTAAGCAAAGCCAAAGCAGATGTTGGAAAGTGGGCCTATGTGTCAGGACCTCCAGGTAGATGGACGTGCGCTTCCAGGGGGCTGGCATGGGCACTGGGAACCAGGGGTAGTCGGGCCTGGGATCTTCAAGGCTGGAAAGCAAATGTGTGAATCTGCTGGAGTGGGAGCCAGGATTCAGAGAAGGCAGGAGACACAGAGGCAAAGCAGTGAGTTGGTGGGGTGGAGGGAGTGTATTCTGGTCTGGCCAGGGTGTGCAAAACCCACTGGCCTGGAGAGGAAAGATTCGGGAGGCTGTGAGCACATGGCCCAAGAAGGACAATGCAGCTTCTGCCCTGGGCTCTTATATGTGATCTTCATTGCAAATAAGATAATCTCGCGGTTTTGATTACCCTCTTTGCCTCTAAGCCCCACTTCTCTGTCCCCAGGTCAGATGTCTCTTCTTAACACCAAATTCACAAGTCCCACAGCTTACTGAGTATTTGCACTTCGCTGTTTCTCAGTGTTAAGAAACTCTTTATCACAAAATAACCTCCTTGTATCAGTCAGCTTTCCGTTACTAGGACAAACTGCAGAACCTCAGAAGTGCAGCGTAAGAGAGGAAGGGTTTATTTTGACTCGGTTTCAGTCTGAGGCAGAAAGATCATGGCGAAGGATTTAGTGGAGCAAAGCTGTTCAGCCCACAGCAACAGAGAGACAGGAAGGGCAACAGAATCAGAGAAAAGACAGAGAAGAACGGACTGAGGTCCAGAATACATCCGTGCAGGTCCCGCCCCTGGGGACCACCTCCTCCCACCAGGCCCTGCCTCCTAATAGCACACTTGGCTGTGTTCTCGTCTGCCGATGAATTCACTAATGAGGTTGACAGTAGCAGTGCTCAAATGCGGCTTTGTAGGAAACCTCGTATTTAAACCGTAGCCTGGTCAGCTGTTCAACAGCAGCTTTGCGGGCATCCCTGAAGTATAAACTACACAAATGCTCATAAAGCAGAATAATAAACATCAACCATGAATGACACTCAGCAATCCAAAGAAACAAATGAACTGGGCATGGTGGCTCACACCTGTAATCCCAGCACTCTGGGAGGCCAAGGCAGGAGGATTGCAAGTTCGAGCCCAGCTTGGCCATGTAGCAAGATCTTGTCCCAAAGTAAAAGTTTTAAAAAATGGCTGGGGGCCTAGTTTGATGTGAAGACCCTGGGTTCAATTCCCAGTATTACACATACAAAAGAAGGCAAGTTAGTGATTCAAGCAGGATGGATGAATTTTAAGAATAGTTGGATGCATGAAAGAAATCAGACGGAAAGAGTATGTACTCTTTAATTCTATTTAGATGAAATTCAAGAACAGACAAAATGGACTGATGGAGTAGAAATCAGAGCACAGATCACTTGTTAGGGAGAAGGATTGGTAGAAACTTTAGTGGGGGGGAGGATGGAGATGTTTTATCTTGTTTGGGATACGGGTTACATGAGTGAGTACATTTGCCAAAATTCATGGAAACGGACACTTAAGATTTGTGTATTTCACTGTATATATCTCAACGCTTAAAGCACTAATTATAAAAAGAAAGTATGATGGATGCTTTGTTCACCATGGTCCCTAAGTAACAACAATGGAACGTGTACTATGGGAGGAAGAACCTCGTGCTCTCAGGCCCTTACAGGGGAAGAGGGATCTCAGCATGTCTGCAGTCAGACTGGTCATCCCTTCCTATCTCCTGTCTACCCTTCCAAAGTCCTTCTCCTCCTCTTCCCAGTGAAAGAACCACCAGCCCCCGAGTTGCTCAGAACAGAAGCTGGGGAGTGCCCTGACTTCTGACCTCCCTCCCCGTCACCCGGCCCGCTGGAGGGAGACAGGTCCACCTGCCACCAGGCCGCACCATTCAGTCTGCGCAGAAGGCACGGGTTCAGGTTCCATCGTGTTCTGCCCGGATGACTGTGGTCACTCCACAGTCGTCGTGCCCAGACTCGTGTCCTTCAAGCGGGCCCCTGGGCTCTGTCCCACCTTTCTTAATACATTGCGAAGCGGCAAGCCACGCTCAGAGCCAGCCTGCGCTCCTCCGCGTGCCTTACAAAAACTTCCCAACCGTTGGCCACAACTCTGCCTTGTGCTCATGCTCAGCCTGGCGTTTTGGTCCGTGCATGTGTCTCACTATCTGATCTAGAGTGAACGCGGCTTCTGCTGCCAAGACAGTTTCTTCCCCTGGATAACTCCAGTGAATCTTCTGGACACAGTGAGAGGACCCAGTCCCTGCTAAAGCACCCACCGGCGTCTGTTTTGCTACTATCCTCAGCACCTAGAGCAATGCCTGGTGTGCAGCAGTCGCTCACCCAGGGCTTCCTGATCGAATGAGTTCTCTTCCTTAACATTCAAAGCCCAGAAAGAGCTCTGTTACCTCTTTGTCTTCAAAAGGCAGCTGGATAATGCAGTAACCTTAACAGCTCTCATTCACTGAGCATCTACCGTGTGCTGGTTGTGGTCGCAGAGAACCCTGTGGTCCCTTATCTGGTGGCATTATCTCCGTTTCCTTGACCAGGGGGCTGAGGGTTATTAGAAAGATTCATCCGCAAAGTGTGAGTAAGTTCCAGGTACTGCTCCAAGTCCCCGCGAACCGTGGAAAGCAGCACAGAAGTCTTCATTTGCAGGGAGCTTATGTTCTGGTGAGAGGGGAAAGACAGTCAATTGGAAAACAAGTAAACGTATGGCTTTTAAAACGGTGACAAGCGATAGGGAGAAAATAAAGTGAGGAGGGGGTGGAGATTGCCGGGTTATTTTATATGTCCGGTGATCAGGGAAGAGCTCTCCTATCAGAGATGAGGCAGCTGTGGGGAAAGTGTTCTTCGACCAAATGCAGCACCCCAGGGCATGCAGAGAACAGCAAAAAGGCCGGCGTGGAAGTAGCAAGGGGAAAAGGCGGAAATCAGAGAGGGCCGGAAAGTTCCAGGTCATCTGTGGCCTTCAGCTTTCACCATGAGAGAAATTGGAGCACAGAGGATGTTGGGCAGGGGAGCGGCTTGAACCAACAGAGTTCTTCAGGGTCACACAGCTGGTCCAGGTCAGAGGCAGCCCTCCAATTTGACCCAGGCTTTTCACTGCACACATTTCTCTGTCCTAGAAGCAACCCCCGGAACACACTGGTGGTTGCAGGTCCCCTGCTGTGGGGTCCTGTTCTGTCCTCATTCCAAAGCATTTGCTGCCGTTCAGAGGCTCAGAGCAGGGAGCTGCTCCCCGTGGCCCCGCTCCTCCTTCTAGCCGACAAATACTTAGCCAGGACTGTACTTAGGAAGACTGCAGAGGAGGAGACATATTCCCTGCTCTTGCAATTTCCAGTGTCCTGGAGGGAAACGAGTGACCATGGGGCATCTTCCAGCGTCAGTGAGGAGTGGCGCAGGGGAAGGGAGAAAACGAAAGGGGACAGAGCAGGAGACCGGAGAATCAAGGAAGGCTTCCCCAAGGAAGTGAAACCGGGAAGCAGTGGGTACCTAGGCTGGCGAAAGGAAAACAATAGCTGTTCGTAGGGCAGCAGCGGCAGGTCCGCAGGCTCCGACGTGGGAGAGACCCGAGACTTTTGTGTTTGTGAGCTTTGAGTCACTGTGAAAACTGCCTCAGATCAATCAGTTTAAGGAGAGGAAACGTCTGTTTTGACTGCAGTTGCAGAGGCTTCCGGCACAGCGAGGCGGCCTTGGACGGGGTGCCGGGTGGCAGTAGCGGGGAGCTCAATTGGTGTGATTGCCAGGAAGCAAAAGTACAAGAGGAAGGGTTAGGGGCCCCCTGTTCCCTTTGAGGTCAGACCCCAAAACCTAGGGACCTTCCGCAAGGACCCACCTCCTAAGGTCCCTCTGTCTCCTGGTAGTATCACCCTGGGGACCGTGCCTTCACTGCATGGGCCTCTGGGAGACATTTATCCCTGGTCCCAGATAGGGCCTGGTGTCCTAGGCCAGGCGAAGGACCTTGATCTTTACCCTAAAGTTAATGGGGTGCTGCTGCACTGCGAGAGCGTTTTAAGCAGGAGGTGACTTGGGTGGGTGAGAAGCTGTCTGTGGCTGCATGTGAAGTCTGTATAAGGGGTGAGAGGGACACGTGGGCATCCAGGGGAGAGATAAAGGTAGGTGGTGTTGGTGCGGAGGGGAAAAGGTAGATTCTAGGGACAGCTGAGCGGGGATGGCAGCTCCTGGTGATGGGCAGTGTGTGTGGGATGAAAGAGTCAGGATTTGCACAGGGCAGGGCACGAGCTGCGGATCCAGCTTCCTGTGTGACTGTGTCGTCCTACAGGGGTGCCCTTACACCCTAATCTTGTCTCCCGTGTTCTTCCTCCTTCAGAGGGCCAAGATCGGCCAGGGAACCAAGGCTCCAGAAGAAAAGACGGCTAATACTGTCTCCAAGTTTGACAACAATGGCAACCGGGACCGGATGAAACTGACTGATTTCAACTTCCTGATGGTGCTGGGGAAAGGCAGCTTCGGCAAGGTACGCGGTGACTGGGTGGCCGCATCCCTACCAGGAGGAACAGCTGCTTATGTGGGGTTTATGTTCTAATGGGGGAAAGGGGAAAAAGTAGATAGACCTACCCTGCAGTTGGCGACGCATACTGTAAAACAAACGAATAGAGTGCTGTGTCACAAACGGAGAAGAGACCCACTCTAGATTATCGAGGAAGGTGACTTCTAAACAGACCTGAAGGATAAGAATGAACCGGACTTGCTTTCCCGGAGTTAGGAAAGAATGTTCCCGCCAGAGAGAACAGCAAGTGCAAAGGTCTCGAGGTGGGAAAGAGCTGGCTGTAGTCCAGGTGCCACCAGAAGGTGTTGAGACCGCAGTGCCGTGAGCAGGTGTGGTGGTAGGCTGCGAGCTTGCAGAGGTAAGCGGAGGTCTGACTATGCAAGGCCTTAGGAGTTGCAAAGAGAGTTTTGAATTTTTTTCACAGTGCAGTGGGGAGCCATGGAAAGTTTTTAAGCAGAGGAGTGACATGATTAGATTTGCCTTTTGGAAAAGCACATTGTGGTAGCTGAGAATGGAAACAATTCCTTTCAAACAGCAGCGTGGTTGAAAGATGACCCTGGGACTCGTAGAGCAGTTCTGGATGCTTTTATAGATACCACGAGACACTGTTTTACCAAAGTTGAGATTGTGTTATAAGTATTCCTGACTTGTTTAGTGTTGTTTGGAGTCTTTTAATCCCTTTGTGTGCCACAAAGATGTCCAGGATAAATCTCATACCATGAACTCAGGTGTGCAAAAAGTATAAATTTCTTTTCCATCTCTGAAACTGAAGCCACAAATCTCAGAGTTATCCTTGAATTTCCCTATTTCCTTCATCCTTGCCCTCCCAGCCGCCTGCATCCCCTGCCAAGCTCTGTCCAGTCCACTGGGGAATCCTGCCAGTTCCTCCGAAATATATCACACGTTCACTAACCTTGCTCCATCTTTGCTAATACAGCGTGTCTCTATTCTGAGCCGTGTATCACCTGGGTGCTGCAGACGCTCCTGATTTGTTTCCCACTCTCAGTCTTGTTACCTGTAATCAATATTCTTTCCATTTAGCAGTGATTGTAATTTTTAAAACTTACATTAAGTCCGGATCAAGGCACTCCCCTGCCCAAGGCCCTCCAGTGACGTCCCGTCACAGAATAAATTCTCTGCTAAGCTTGTGGCCTACGTCACCTTTTATCGCCTAGCTTTTGTTCTCTGCTTGACTCCTCCTCCTCGTCTTCCCTTTTTTCCCTGTCGCCCGCCACATTCTGCACACAGTGGTGGCTCCTGGGCGTGCAACACACGTGCTCTGTCTTCCCTGGTGGCATTTTTGACGCTTGTCTTTGGTCTTTGCACAGCCGGCTCCTTCTTGTAATTCACTTCTCGGCTTCACCATCAAGTCCGATCATTCACCCAGAGCAGACACTCGTTTATCCTCTCTCATATTTCGTCCTCCCATGGCGTCCGTCCTTGGGTGATACTTTTCTTGTTCCTTTTTGGTGTATCCCTCTGTCTTTCTAAGACCAAAGGTCCAGAAGAGAATGGATCTTCTCTGCTGTGGTTCCCACTATGTTTCCAGAGCTATGGGTTGAATTCATTCAGTGCCTACATGGAATGCATGCATTTCTCTGCCTGTGGGTGACAGGGTTGTCTGCTGTGATGGAGTAAAGATTTTGAGATGCATGAAATAGGAATAGGGAGTAACGACACGCAATGAGATTGTGAAGCTGCCCTGGGATCCAAAAGGTTAGAAAATATGTAGTCGGTGCTGGTCCACAGCACTGTGTGATTTCTTTTTTCAGCAGCTCTGAGCAGCCTGGGTGTCGGGATGAGGAAGCAGTTGGTGAGTTTGAGCTAAGGGTGGAGATTAGCAGAGTCACTGGACCAGAAGATTAGGGTAATGAGCGAGCCAGGGGTTCTGGAAGAGAGATGACCACTGCAGATCCACAGAGCGTGGCCTGCAGTGGGCATTCAGTGGAAGAGTATTCAATAAATGATTGAAAGTGGTCCTGGGCCTGGGCTGGGAAAGAAAGCCAACAGGAAGACGATTGTCATCTGGGTAGGAAAGAAGGTGTCTAGACTTAGGGGTGAAAAACAAGTGAGTGAAGATAGTTGAAATGCTAGGAAGAATGAAAACACTAGATTTTAGAGAAGAAGCAGATTCCCTGATGATACAGCAGAAATCAGCCTAAAGGGAGAAGAGATTCTAATAGGCTGAGACCACTGGGGAGGGTGTGTTTTGGGTCCTTTATTTATTTGTTTATTTTGTTCTGTTTTTGCAGTGCTGTGGATTAAACCCAGGGGCTCACAATGCTAGCTGCACATCCTGCCACTGAACCGTAACCCAGATCCCTCCACTCCTTTAAATTTAGGCTTTGTGCAGATAAGGTCTCACTATGTAGCCCAGGCTGGCCTTGAACTTGTGACCGTCCTGCGTTAGCCTTCCCCGTGCTGGGATGATAGGCATATTCCACCACGACTAGCTGCTGGGGAGGTTTTCAAATTAAAATTTTTAGGCTGGGTGGAGAGGTACACACCTGTAGTCTCTGCTGCTTGAGAGGCTGAGGCAGGAGTTGAGCCCAGGGGTTTGAGGCCAGCCTGAGCAACACAGCGAGACTCCATCTCAAAGAAAAAACATTAAAATGTATGCATATATTTTTCTTATTTACGTGTCTATTAAAACAGCTTTATTGAGATATAATTCACAGATCACACAGTCCACCCATGTAAGGTGTACAGTCCAGTGGTTTTATGTTTGTGCACTTCTGTAACCATCACCACAGTTAGTTTTAGCACATTTTCATTCTCTACAAAGGAATATTTATAACCATTAATAGTCATGCTTCACTGCTCTCCTCCCCAATTATGTTTTTAATAAGTCTTGTATTCACATGCTTCATAATTAAGATTATGTTAGAGGGATAGACACTGAGAAGTCTTGCTCCCACCGAGGTCAGCTCTTTCTGTGACCACTTGCTGCCGCTGTCTCTGTAGGTGAACTTCAGTTAATTTAATTTGCTCCTTTCCAGTCTCTCTCTGCCAGTTTTTCTTACTTCTGTCCTCATTAACTCAAAAGTTGGCATACTGGGCACAGGTGTTGGATCACTTAACAATATAGATTGGAGAATTTCTTATAGAGGAGTGGATATTCCTGAAGGCCTTGTAGAAAGGATCAGAGTGTGGGGGTGCGGAGGTAGGGTAGTGGGAGAATGGATCATTGGGGAACAGGGAGGGAATAAGAGAGAATAGATCATATGTTTCCATAGTAACTGTGATCATAATTGAGAGTTCTCTTCCAGGCTGGGGAGGTAGCATGAAATAAATCGTAGGGAAAAACAACAGCATGTCATGAAAGCAAAATAGAATAACAAACACCTCTGTGATCCTTTAAAACATCTAGTAATGCTGTGCAACTCTAGTTTTAACAATCATAGCTTTAAATTAATGTGGTCTCCTATTTAAATGCCCACTTTGAACATTTTTGCAGAGTCTGTTTAGGTATATAGATCAAACTCTTTCGGCAGCAGTACTCTCTCCCTTCTGAAGATGAAAGAGACCAGCCTTTGGGGTTCACACCTCCCCTCCCCTGGGTCCACTGTATCAGATCTGGCCCAGATAAACAAGCTTTTAAGCACTGTAATAATTTGCAGAACAACTAGGGAATGACACAGGCATTCTGTTAAGATCTGTGAAAATGAAACGAGAGAGAATGTGAGTGTGAAGGCCGTTATTCCAAACGTGTTGGCCCCGTTTAAAAAACTTCCAAAAGAAGAGCAATCTGGAGAGTTGTCTGTCTTGGACAGGTGAGCGGGTGTCTGTCTGGAAAGTCTGTCTTAACAGAGCACACCTTGCTAGGCTGTCTGACTTACCTGGAGATAAGTGCTTTTCAGAACTTTTATGATAGAACATTGGATGTATTATTCATGTATTATTTAATGCTGCATTTTAGACTTTGATTTTTTCACCCCCTATTTTTTGTGATTCTTTCAACTTTTGCCAAACTGTATAGAGCTTTGCCAAACTCTATACTTTTGTGAGAGTTGATCTCTATGGTCATTGAATTTTTTTCTGGAGTTGAAATTGCACTGTCTGTCTGTCTATCTATCTCTCTGTCCATATAGCTGGGCATATATGTCTTGTCTAGATGGATTATACAAGCTGACCTTATAAAGTAAATTCAACAAGTAACCCACAAAGTACACATACCAGTACAACTCTTACATAATAGACTTGATGCCTGTCCTCCTAATGTGCTGCTATAACCAACCTATATTAAATAATTAATTAATGCTAGTATTGCTTGTCTTTTGAGACTTCACCTATACTTGTGGCAATGTTTTGTGTGATCTCAATCTTTTTTAAAAGTTATGCCAGGAAGTTTGAAAGAAAGCTCTCTTGTACCACTGACTCTTGTCCATGGGGGGTGAGGCACCAGTGTGTGCTGGGGAGCAGGGTGGGGCTGAGGGACGCAGCTGGTGTGCTGTCGTGGGCATAGGTCCGCACACACCGAGAAGCTCCAACCTGATAGCACAAAGATCTATGCAAAATGATGCCTCTTGGAACGTACTTGAGAACACGAAAAATTGAAATTGCTCATATAATATGAAGGTTAAATATGTAATTGAGCACTCAAGCTACATTCAAAAATTCCTCCTTCTCCCCTCTCATACACATAATCTTCCTCTGTCTCTAAGATTTCCATGATACAATGTCAAGTAATAGTAAAGGCGAACAACCAGTGTGATTAGTTATATAAGATATAATCTATGTATACGAAATGCTTTCATGTAATAATATATCAATGGTCTTTACTGTCATTTACCTTTTCCGCCACTATTTTATTATAAAAAAACAGACAACTTGAAAGAATTTTAAAACGAGCACCAACAATACCGACCATGTAGATTCTGAAATTAATATTTGGCTAGTTTGTTTATCACATACGTATCCATACATTTATTTCTCTACCAGCCCACTTTCAATGCGTTTCAAAGCTA